TTGAAACTGTGGACAGCACATGGTCTAGGCTCACCCCAATCCCACAGCTGAGCAAGCTGTTGCTCAGAGGTGAGTGGTATGGCTGAGGTCACATGCCATGTCTGATGGCACTGGAACCCCAATCCCTATGCTGTCTTCACCCCCACCCCCTTCCCACAGCATCTCTTGCAAACTCTGCCAACAGGGTCTGCAGTCTCCAATTCTCTAATCCTCAAGCAAGAGCCCTCTCTTCTCCTCTGCCTGAGCCTCACCACCTCTCGTCCTCAGCCTGCACCAGTGACATTTCCTCAGCGGCTCCTATTCGGCCTGCCCACCTGCCTTCTTCCATGAGGGGCATTTGGGAATCTGGGTAGAGAATGGTTCCAAGAAGTGGCTGGCTGTTGGGAAACAAAACACCCACACGGAATCATCCCATTTGTGTCCCAGCCGGAGTTGGGGATGCCGGGCAGCACAGGGTGCAGCGCTAAGAACAGGCAGGCAGCCACATGGAGGAAATCACTTGGCAGTGTAAAGTTAATTCAGCTAAATAAATGAGCACCCACCTGCTAGCCCACAGGACCCAGGCCTGGGAAGAAAAGTGCCAGCAGGATCCCTTGGTCCTGACTGGTTCCTGGGAGCCTGAGAAGGGTATCCTCCTGGGATATGCTTGCTACTCACAGCCCCTGGGGTGCCAGGGGTGAGAGCATGCAGGCTGGTGACAGCATGTTCCAGCCACAGTTTAGTGTCAAGGAGACACCTGTAATGCTGCCCAAAGTCACTCTTCCTCAAAGAACACAGCCCTGGAGCTGTGGGGACTGGCTGAAAAGGATGATGAGATCATAGAAGCCATAGCAGGGCCTGGGGCTGTTGGCTCTGCTCAGGGCTCACACTGGGGCATCTCCACAATGCCCTGACTTACTCAGGTTGAGCAGATGGAGACAGGCCACTTCCCAGGGGACCAGCAGTGACTGTGGGAATACCTCCAAACACCCAAGCCAATGGAGGTACCTCTCCTCTCCCTAGAAACTGCTGAGAGAGCTAGAAACAGAGACACCCCCCCCCCGCCAACCCCTATTCACCGACATGTTCCCAGCAGGAGAAGCAGGGGAAGGGGCTCCACTCAGTGCTTAAGACTCTAGTAGCATCCTGAACCAAAGGGGCACATTCTCCTCCTTGTGACCACCTATGCCCAGGTAGCTCTTCATACATGGACCAGAGGAGGGGTGGACATTGGTTCAAAGGAGTGCCAGGGGAGAGTGGGAGGTGACGATAAATCATAACACACCTGTGATGAACACAGGTGCCAGGGCACATTTGGCCTCACATCCTGGGTTAGCTACTTAGTGGCTGTGTGACTGTGGCCAATTTCTTCAACCTTTCTGAGCTGCAGTGTCCTCACCTGGAAAATACCTCCTGACTTCACAGAGTCATGAAGAGAACTCAGAAGCCCACTTCCTCTCTTCTTTTGGAAACTTGATATTCAATGTCATATACCAAATTTAGAGACAGGAACACAGGAAAAAAAAACAACAGGTATTTCCAAATCTCAGGTACTCCCCATCTGCAAGTTCTAAGAGGAAGTAGCCCACAGCTCCCACCCCTCCTGGGACCTGCAGATTCCCTCCTGACTGGTGATGTAGAGGGTGCTCTCCCCACATCTACAATATGGACAGTGTCCATGTGGGGAAATCATCACCCCCTGCTTTTAGACAGTCCCTCAGAGGTCATGAGATCCTTTCTGCCTCACAACAACCCTAGGGAGGGGCCACAGGCCCTGAGTCACTGTCCTCAGAGAATATGGACACTCAGCAAAGAAATAGGGACTTCCCAAATCAATACCACTGGTAAGTAGTGGGCAGGACTAAACCCAGGTTGGGAGACTACCCTTATAACATCCTTTTTTTTTTTAAGCTTTAAAATATGTTTTTATTAAAGAACTATAACCAAATGAGAATAAATCAAATAATAGTATTTTAAGAATAGCAAGTTTCCTCCATTTATTTCTTACTCCCAATTATACTTCCCAGTTACTCTCTTTCCCTATTTAATTCTGGCAATTTTATAATTTTGGAAGGTATGCTCATACCTCTGATCCTTGATTCACTGACTTGATTTATTCAATTTGTCGATTTGCACACTGATTCCTTGAGATGAAAAATTAGGACTTACCACACACTACTGCCATCCTCATCCTTCTCTCCTCTTCATGTCTGATGCTTATCCAAGTAGCATCCTTTCTACCACACTGGGGACTGTAAGCTGGGTTGGGCAGCCTGAGAGGGTACACTGAGG